AGTGGCCTTTTGGAACACAGCTGCTTGTAAGCATGGCATTTCACGCTAATGAACAAAAAGGCCAACAGTCTGTAAAGAGCATCTAATAAAAAATATAAAAATGATAAAGTAACTGTTTATTTTTAGTTTATTTATTTATTTGAACAGGGACAATGTACAAAATACATTAACCACAAAAAAAGGAGAGATGCTTTGTACCAGGTTATAGCATTATTTTGTAATTCACACCTGTAGTCCCTGGACCGGCTGGTGCAAAATGTGTATAAAACTGTCAAAAATGCAAATTGAGACAGATCATTATAAAAGCATTATCATATATACAATCCAATAGCATACATCCACCATTTACATACAGTCATTCAGAACTCCCAAACTTCAGTGCAAACTACACTTTCACACATCAGCTCTAGAGGTAATACAGTTTCTGCAAACTGTATGCACTGAATAAAAATTATTCCATAAATCCCCAAAAGATTTTTTTCTTGCATTTTAGGAAAGATCCAGGATGCTGTACTGGATAAGTGGTTGGAAGATGGATGGATGGATCGTAGGCAGAAACAAGAACCGAAACAAAACTACTGCACCATACATAACTGCACTAGGAAGGATACGTTTACATTCTGGCTGTGCTCTAAATCTGAAATTCTCAGGGTAAAAATGTTGGCAGAGATAATAAGGATCAGGAAATAAACTCAAGCACAGTCATTTTGTAATATTTAGCAATTATATTAGTATTTACAGCTCATAACTGATATATGTGTCTGGAATTATGTCTCAACAACTCAAAGAAACAAATGTTATTACATATCATGCGCCATAACATTGTACTTTCTAGTGTTTTCCATAAGCTTCCGCCTCATACAGATAAAATTTAATAAGATTAAATGTTACTGACAAACTGGGGGAAAAAATAAGTAAGTATGCCTCCCTGCACAAGCTTAATAGATTATCAAGAGGCAGTGATTTGTTGACAGTAACAAGAAACCCATCTGATGCAAGTTTCCTAGCATTATCTAAAGCCCTACAGGAAACAAGAGAGGACATCCTCTGCTACTGTGACAGAGACATATTCTCATGTATCTTTAACATGGGAATCCAGTATGACATAGTGGTATATTTGAGGAAGTCAGATGGGTAACAAAGGCACTAAGGAAAGGCTTTATTTCTAATTAGACTCTGCCGCTAACCTCCTAGCCGTGGTAGGACAGGCGGACTTGTGGTATCCGTTATGAGTGAATCTCCCCACCCCAAAGCATCTGCTTCTCTCATCTCCTACCAATTCATTCTTCCCTCTTTTCCTCATCGGCTTCCTCTCTCCCTCCGCCACTCCTCTCATCCCTTCCTGTTTTCCATGCAAGATTGTCATTCTGTTTTTTTTCTTCAGTAATCTCATTCATATGACCTAACCTCACTGTTATCTCTCACATACATATACATGTATACATATATACAATGTAAAAACTTCACTGTCACATTAAAGCAGGTCAGCTGAAATTCATTCTCCAAAAAAATAAAAACATAAATCCATAATTATGAAACACGTATAATTTTAAATTTTATTTATTTTGCAGACACTTTTATCCAAAGCAACGTATAATTGAGAAAGCAGGGTCAGACAGTCCCTGCAACAATTGGGCTTAAGAGTCATGCTCAGAGTCAGGCCCAACAGTGACATCACACGGCCAGCCAAAAGGATTCAAACCAGCAACCATCTAAGCACAGGCACAGTCTCCCATGCCATTGAAGCACACACATTTCATGACATTTACCATGAAAATTTCCATTGAAGTTTTATAAAATATTCATCCAAACAAAGCATTTATTCTAACCAGAGACTATTTTTTACTTTTTCATTAGTATTACTCAAATCTATTACTAAATTTGTGCCATCCTACTGTGGTAACTGAACATTCGGAGGGCAGAATGTTATCATATTTCTACACATTTCCATCAGGCTTGTGGTATATTTGTTACTTTTGTTCACCGGTAAGTGCTGGGGTCTTTCCTTTGATAGCTGGCTAAGCCCCTGTTCCTGCAAATGGAAGGTCACCAGTTCAAGCCTGGCCTCAGCAGGCATAAGATGACATAAGGGACTGAAGTCTACTATCATATTATCTTTACAAAGGTAGGAACACATCTTTATATATTTGTCTAACATGTACAAAGCCTTTATACCTTTAATATTATGAATGTCAGTTATCGAAACATCACTCTACAAACAATTCAGCACTAACTGATCAGTGATCAGAAGGAAGAGAATTTGAATCGCACCACAAGTGTGTCAGCTGCTCTTCAAGTTTAGGCCATATGGTTCTAGTTTACAAATACAGAGAACCATTTCCCCAGCAGTGGCATTTTTAATAAATGCAAAGTATTGTTAATTAGTTCTGAAAGGTGGATGGCCAATAAAAATGTTCTTGCTGAAGGCAAATTAGCAAAATATGAGGTAGCTGCGAGGCTGGAGCCTGTCCCAGAAGGGATAGGAATTTCACACGGCAGGGAACACCCTGGATGCCAGCACAAGTGCACATCATGGACAATTTAACAACACCAATCAGGCAACATATTTTTAGAGGTTACGCGATTCCTGCGAACAACAAATTAATTTACATTGAACTCAAAATTATTCCATAAACTCCAAAAAGAGTTCTTTTGACATTATAGGGATAATCCAGTTGGAAAGTGGATGGATGGATGGATTACAGGAAAAAGCAACTATCAACACAAAAATAATGCATTGGGTACAACTGCAACAGGAAGAATAGGTTTGCATTCTAGCTGTCCTATAAGTATGAAATTATCTGGGTAGAAATGTTGGCAGAGATAATACACTTTTTTTTAGTTTTTATCCAAAAGCAATCATGGCCTTAAACTCAAAACAGAACTGTTAATTTTTATATTTCATAAGTGCAATTTGTATATCCAGTGCAATTTGTACAGTCAATGACATTTGTATAGTCAGTGCAATTTTGTATATTTTGTAATACAGTGGTACCTCAGAACTCGAACTTAATCTGTTCAGAACTCGGATTCGAATCCTAAGTTTGAAGTTTGAGTTCTGATAAAATTTTCCCCATAAGAAATAATAGAAAACCAATTAATTGCTTCCCGGCCCCAAAAAATTACACCTAAATATGTTTTTTTTTTTTTGCATTTAAACACAAAATGAACAGGATAAAACAAGAAGAGCATATACTAAACACATCTAAGCACATTTATCAAAACAGTAAGAAAAAATGTATCAAAACAATGTATAAAGTTAAAAAAAAACAAAAAAAAAAAAACAATGACAAGTTATCTTAGGTCGGCGTTCACGGTTCGACTTCTGAAATTCAGATCGAGTTCTAGGTAATTTTTTTTCGAACTGGTTGGTTCGACTTTTAAGAAATTCGAGTTCTATATTCTTTTATCACTCTTATGCCTTACATTGAGTTGCCTGCATTTTCTAAATTTCATTGTCAAGTGACAATAACAATAAAGATTCTTATCTTATATCTTATCAAACTGGAGTACCCAAGGAAACCCACATGAACACAAGATCAACATCTAGACTCTTCAGGCACACAGAGCCAAGGAGAGAAACCTATATAGAGCTTATGCTCAGTATTATATATCAGTGTTTCTCAAACCTGTCCTCAGGGACCCCTAGATGGTCCATGTTTTTCTCTCTCCCAGTTCCCTGGGAGTCTGGAGGGACCAAAAATGTGGACCGTCTGGGGGTCCCCAAGGACTGATTTGAGAAACACTGTTATATATTACAATTTGAGCTCTAAAGTAATTATGACAGTTTATGCTCATACTGGTTATAGCTATAGTGACCATGGAAGAAGTCTGGCGCACCAGATATTTGAAGATTAGATCTACATTAAGCAAGAAATGATCACTTTAGGGTTAAGTATGCAATCACTTACATGTAAAAAAACAAAAACAAAACATCACAAGATCTTGGATAAAAAAACAGAAAGAGAGCAGATTTAATAATGATGATATTAAAGTTTGTACAGTAATTATATAAGTAAATCTATTAGTAATTGGTTAACATAAAAATTACTATTCTAAACTCTAACTACACGCTGTGTAAAGAAGTGCTTCCTTAAATCCAGTTTGAAATGTTCTCCCGCTAATTTCCACCTATGGCCACAAGTTCTTGTATTTGAACTAATGCTGAAGTAACTATTTGGTTGAACAGCATCCAAACCTGTTAGAATCTTATAGACCTGGATCATGTCCCCCCTCAGTCTCCTTTGCTTGAGGCTGAACAGATTTAGCTCAAATAACCTTTCCTCGTATAACATTCCTCTAAGACCAGGAATCATTCTTGTGGCCCTACGCTGCACCTTTTCTAAGGCCGCAATGTCCTTTTTAAGATATGGTGACCAAACCTGCACACAATATTCTAGGTGAGGTCTCACCAAGGAATTGTATAATCTTAGCATTACCTCCCTTGACTTAAACTCCACACACCTGGAGATATACCCCAACATCCTATTGGCCTTTTTTATTGCTTCCCCGCACTGGCGAGAATGAGACATGGAAGCATCAACATACACACCAAGGTCTTTCTCATAATCAGCTACCTTTATTTCAGTAGGTCCCATAAAATACCTGTACTTTATATTTCTACTCCCTACATGGAGTACCTTACATTTGTCTATGTTAAATTTCATCTGCCAGGTATCGGCCCAGTCACTAATTAAATCAAGATCCCGCCTTAGCTGCTGAGCCGCTAGTTCAGTATCTGCTACACCACCCACCTTGGTGTCATCTGCAAATTTCACCAGTTTACTGTATATATTGGTGTCTATATCATTTATGTAAATTAGGAACAATAGTGGTCCTAAAATTGAACCCTGCGGCACCCCACTATGAACGCAGGCCCACTGTGACATTGTGCCTCTTATAACTACTCGCTGCTTCCTATCTGTTAACCAGTTATCAATCCAAGTCGCTACAGTTCCTAAAATACCTGTCTCTTTGAGTTTAAGTAAGAGCCTCTTGTGGGGGACAACATCAAAAGCCTTTTGGAAATCTAAGTAGATGACATCATAGGCCTTCTTATCACCAACTTCTTGAGTAGCTTCCTCAAAAAACTCCAACAGATTTGTTAAACATATATGTCTAATGCTCATGATATTAAGTACTATTTACATATTTTTCTATTATGTTTCTACCCTACCCAGTAAAAGCATTAGGAAAATGGATGAGGGAGGAATGGATGGATGAATGTTTCTTTTACACTATTTACAACATCACAACATGAAAAATAATCCTCTATTTTGAATGCAACAACTCAATGTTTTTGTAAACAATAATTTAATAGTACAGCAGCCACATTTCTGAACATAGGATGAAAAAGAATAAAGAATATGGATTAAAAACCTTTTAAATTAATGCAGATGAAAAATGTGTTTTGCAAAGTTGCTTATGAAGGTACAGTGGTAACGAGAAATGCATTTTACCCAAAATTCCCGGTTATGCTGTGAAACAAACTTGTCAGTCGTTATCTTACCTTTTCCCTAATTAATACTTCCTTAAACTCTTTCGAAAGTGAATGAAGCACCAATGTGAACAACATCCTAAAAACCCCACTAATGACACAAGGGCTTTTGTGGCACTTTGAGTGATGCCATACTGCTGGGGCAGGATTGATTTAGCCCATCTGTACATTGCACAATGCACTAAGATATATTGTGCCTGAGTAAGCTAAAGAGAGACCAGACAGCGCTCCCAGTGAAAGACACAGCTGAATGCACAGACGGACCCTTCAGGGAGAGGCATGAATTTCACAGGCTAATTAGCGCTATCATGCAGTGCATCTTTTTCTGCTACTTGACTTCCCATTCGGCTAAATGCCTTAACACATCCAGTACCTTCTAATGTTTGGGGGAAAAACACACTCACTTTTAAAAAACTGCAAAAAAAAAAATCTGTCTTTTCACTTACAGATCGTCCATTCATCTGAAATAGGGCTTCTAGCAGGTGCAAACATCTCAGATAATTGTAGTGCATGTGATACACTTGGGATGAAGAAGCCACTGTCAGATTAGCATAGTTTATGTTAGTGTTTCTCAACCCAGTCCACAGGGAACCCCACACAGCCCACATTATTTTTTGGTTCAGGTATGTCAGAAGCTGGGAGGGAGCGGAACTTGGACTGTTTGGGGGTCCCTGAGGACTGGGTTAGGGTTAGATATGCAGTTTGAGTCAGATCATGATGTTTAACTTTCATTTAAACATATTTAATTCAAATAAAAATATAATAACAGGAGAAAATTCCGTGCTGCAAGTGGAAGAAAAAACTGAGATCTGTAATAATCAAAACACTGTGTCTTTACGGAAATCCTCCCAGGTGAGAGAGAGTTCAAATTTCTGTTTTCGCTTCTGAAGTTTCCATTGATTATGGATCCTGCATAAATCACTCAAGTGGGGAATGAGGAGGTACAGTTTATAAAACGAGGGTGGCACGCGCGTGAGGGTTCAGTGCAGGATGATAGCTGGCTCGAGTCATAGATTTCAAAGCCTATTACAATAAAGAATCCTACAGAAGAGGGCAACTGACTGAAGTCCAAGTATAGCAAACAAGTGAGGGGGAGGGAGGGGGCATGGGAGGGAAAGCGGAGACTGACCTGTGGATCGGAGAAGACGCGCTGGATGTTGTTGATAGGACCGCAGGGCACGCCGGTCCCCACAAACTTTCCCAGCCACTCGCCAGTGCTCTTTTCGGAGAATCTGGGAACAAACAAAGTTTCTGTGGTTTGAACTGTGTGCTGCAGCTTCAAACATGATGGGGGGGGGGCATGGGACTGATCTAAAGGGTGAACAACATCTATAAAAGAAAAAAAAAACCAGTGGCACATGTGCTTCCTGGAAGGCCCCCATCTAGCCCCGCTGCCCCAATTGAAGAATATTTTCAGGCCCCCACACCTAGAGAACCCCCCCCCCCCCCCAACATACTGACACAAGTATCTAAAAGCATTAGGGGCTAGTTACTGCAGATCCAGATTCCTGTTATCCATTCCACACAAAAGAAAATGAATTTCACACACAAGCCAGCTTTTGATGTAAACGGATGGTGCTTTATCTAGTGAGTCTTCCTGCCCTCTTTGTCGTTGGCTCTCCATGAGACTCCGGCCTGTGTTCTGCTTCTTCCCGGTCACCCAGCCGCAACTGTCCCAGACATTAACTTCCCAAACCGTCATCCACAAGAAACATAAGACTTTTCTGATGACTATATGGGGATCATTATTCTGTGTTTTGTGGCTGTGACGGACTGTTTGATGCTACTAATTGCTAATTTGTTAAATCTAGTCACAGAGGGCCATGACATTCCCCAGCTGTCTCATTCTCTCAGAGAGCAGATTCATGTCCTTTTATCTGTTCCCATATGTTTAGATGAAAATACAAGTTACACGCCTAACATGGGCATGCTATTTGGCTCCTGGAAATATGACCTGTTGGCCTTTTTGTCTGAGGGCTGTTTTATTAGCCATCACACCACCTGTTGGCTCACGAAGAGCAACACATGCATAAAATACATACTTCTCTGCAAGGATCGTTAGCAGCTCCTTCCTGTTCTGTACTCGTAGCATGTTGGTCTTAAACTTTGGGTCTCCTGAAAGGCATCTGAGGTTTAACACCTGGAGTCAACATGGTGCATGCAGACAACATGCATAGTGATGTTAAATTAACGGTCAAATATAAACATGCTCTGCTACTACCCTTTAATTACTGGAATTCTCATTATTATGGTAACAGGACTTTAGTAATCAGGTGGAAATTATTCCCATATATAATTATACTGGTACTCCATAAGCACTTGCTTATTAGTTAATTTATTAGCTTCAAAACTGCTTTTATCCAGTTTACAACTTTATACTGTTACAGATTTGTAAAGCCAGGCATTTGCCGAAGCCATTTTATGGTAAGTCTGTTAGCTTGAGGCTACCGCAGCAATTCACCTCATTAAATGCAGTTACTTCGCCACCTGCAACTGATTGCCCTCGATTTACTTCTGCCTTGTTTCGTGATGCGTGAGTACTTCTGCTTACCTCGCATACTTGGGCGAACTGTTTATTATTTCCAGCAGCCACAACAATGTAGCCATCTTGGGTCTTGAAGCCCTGTGTGAAATCAAAAAAGAAGGGGTTATTTCATTATCGCCCAATAACAAACCTAAATCGGATAATTTCAGAAAACTGGCACTGTGCGTATTATGGGAAAAACATCTGAAAACAGGGGAAATGGGAACAAAGCATGATTACAACACGATCCATAGACAAAGATGGATGAATGCTTCTGTTTTTCATTGGTGATACTGCCAAAATCCAGTCATTTGTGTCTAAAAGATGAAGTATAGTTGTTCAATTGTCTGAACTAAGTATTTTTTGTAAACTAGTCTTGATTAGGAAGTCAGGAACATATATTACCTCTGTAGTGTACTTCTGTTAGACCTTTAACAGCACCTTCTGTTAAAGTGATTTGCTGTTCCCATGAGGATTTTCTATCTTCTAGTTTATAAATGCAGCCCAACACCACCAAAATACTTACATATGTGTGTAATAATTACAGAGAAAAAGATTCTTTCAATTCTAGGTATCACGGAAGTTCTATATCTAATTTCCATTTTTTGCAAAATAATATTTTAATTATATAACTGCTGCCTTAATTACAATTCTAATTAGATATAGGGGAAAAAAGCTAAAATATTAACTGAATTTAATTAAGTCCTTTATTTCAAATCAGTGATTACTTAATTTGAAATCAAAGATACAATACAAAGATGTAAGGAAATCCATATTATTCTGATAATTTATGACTGAGTCACAAGTTCATCCATGAGCTGATTATGTACGTTTCCATTAAAACATTCATAACAAAGAACTATCACAGATCTTAAAGCTCTAAAAAGTGATGTACGTGAACCTCATAACTATCATAGTTAACAATAATAATGTCTCTATCCTGTGATGCATTTCATTGAGAATCGAAGAGCATCAGAGTGAATGAACGATAGACAGCCAGCTTGAGTTCTGTGTTAATGTATTTTTTAAATGTACAGAATGACTAGGAATACAGAATAAAGTGCTTTAATCAATGTGTCAGAAGATCACGTAGACAAAGTTTGAATTGCTAATCTGTATAAAGCCATTTTTTCTTTTTATCAAATGGAATTTTAAAAGCAAAGTTGGGTTTATTCTTCAACTACAATAGCCCTACACACACACACACACAGAGCACACTTTGATTTCAGTGTACCCCAATAGTCACTGCAGTCCAGCATGCCAGCAGACAGACAAACAGAAGGCACTGGGATTTCGTCACCTCTCACTGGAATACTCGTAAGGTCATGCCAAACAAGTCTGAGGGGCACACAAAATAAATAACTATAAGCCGACATGGTAGGAGTCGATAGTGAATTCATGAAATTAAACACTTAGTCATCAGCAATACCTTTCACCAGTTCTTAGTGTCAGACTTCAATAACAGGACCCTGATTAGATCCTGGATATAGGGGCCCTGGATATTGCTGACCTATTGGCAGAAATGATCTGACAAAAAGGAAATCCAGGTTCTGGTTCAACATGCAATTTTGTGGACACTTAATGAGGTACACATAGCAAGTACTGAGAAGAGCCCAATTTTTCCTCCAGAACCACTTCAAGGGTAGATGACTCATGCACTCAGAGAAGCCTTTCTGCATATCACTGCTGTACCGAGCTCTAATTTTTTGCACTTTTGGCCTTCCTGTTAGCCTTAACAAGGCTGGTAATTTTCCATTGACCACTCACATTGACAAGAAGTTTTTGCCCACAGATCTGCCATGGGCAGGATGCTGTTTTTGCTCATCACACCATTCCCTGGAGATTCTTGACACTTTCACGCACAAAAATCCTAGAATGGTGGCTGCTTCTGAAATACTAGAAGCACCAAGACTGGTAACAGCAATTACAACACATTCAGGATCGCTTACATCAGGGAATTTAGCCGATCTAATGCTTGGACAAACAGTACCTGGGCCTCTTGTCCTCCTAGCTGTGTGCTGTATGGATTCAGTTCCAGGACCATAAAAAAATGGCCACTAGTGTACGCTGAGTATCAGATTAATGGTAGTCAACACCGTCCCCACCCTCCTACAAATGTGCTTGGGTGGTAATTCATGCACTTGGAATGTGTGTTCTTCGCTGCCCAGGCCTCCACCAGACAAAGCTATTATTCAAGTGCTGCCCCCCACTGCTCAGTTTGTCTCAGGACAACATAAAGAGAGAATGCAGTGCACAGCCAGTACTTAATGTCTGTCTGTTGTGACAGTTTTAGTCCATTACATTAAATCATCACCAATTGAGAAATCGTGCACTGGCATCAACAACACCACTGATCACTAGAGGGTGTGAATGTGAGAGGAATGATTTCTTACAGAACAAGATGTTTATGTGCACCATTAAGGAGACTAAGAAGAATGAATAGAAGTCATGGTGGTGCAGTGGTTAGCACTGTTGCCTCACACCTCTGTGACCAGGGTTTGCACCTCCACCATGGCTCCTTGTGTATAGAATTTGCATGTTCTCCCTATGTCATCGAGGGGTTTCCACCAGGTACTCAAGTTTCCCCCCAAGGTCCAAAAACATGCTGAGATTAATTGGAGTTGCCAAGTTGTGTGAGTGTGTCCTGTGATGGGCTGGGTTCCCTGCCTTGTACCCGTAGCCTCTGGGACAGGCTCTGGACACCCTGCAACCCTGAATAGGACAAGAGGTTATGGGAAATTATCGATGGTTTCATATAAATCAATATGAATATTGCAGTTGGAGAGCTGGGGGTTTTATGCCACTATTTAGGTGCTCAAACTAAGACTTTTTACCTTTGTGAAGCATGTCTTGAAACTCTGCAAAAAGCATGCAATATCAACTGAATTTCTATGGCAATGGCATTGTAGCCTTCATATTCAGCTTGGCCACCTTTAACAGTAAAATAAATAGATAAAGTAAAAAACAGACAGAATGACAGACAGACACACATAAACTGTTAAAGTTGAAGAACAGGCTTCAAGTAATACCTGCCATGGGGTCTGGGTAACCTTGGGGGACACACATCTCTGAGAATTTAAAATGATCTTTAAAACTAAAGATTTATCTTCGCAACCTTAATGGAAATATTGAGCATCATATTTGTGTTCTTAGCCAGTATGTTTCTCAGTTGTTCTGCACAGCACCTTGGATTGTTTTAATAACATGCAGGACTTCTGTCAGAAAGCCAGTTATGAGACTATGGGAATCCAGAACCCAGTTATGGAACTGAAAGGAACATCGCTTTTGAATTATACCTGTTTATTACAATATTTGTTCAATTTTATTTCTGCCTTTTTAACAATTTTCAAGCAATAAGAAACAGCATTTTAAGTGCTCTCTTCTGTAGTCATGCCTTGTCAAAGAGGGTTGTAGTTTGAAATATTAAAGTCCAGAGAAATCACATTTTATTTATTTAGCAGGCACTTTATCCTAAGCGACATACATACACAAGCAGAGTTAGACAATCCCTGGAGCAATTAAAGGTTAAGGGTTTTGCTCAGGGGCCCGCAAGTCAGGGATTACAACTGGCAACCTTCTGATCACAAGCAAAGCATCTTAACCCGCTGGGCCACAAATTATTACAGAAACCAGACCGTAAAGAACTGGCATGATTTTACCATGCAAAATGCATTAACCATAAATTATCCATCTCTAGTAAAGTGCTTATACAACCCAACATGATGACTTTGTTCTTAGTGGAACTATAGGCAACTGAATGTGTAAAATATGTTTTAAACTTTGAAAGCTGGAAGCAATATCTTAGCCTATGCCTGCATGTGAATAGGAATAGATGTTAATACATCAACAAGTCCACTCCATTACTCATCAAGCACATTCAGATGCAACACATTCATGCCATTTCAATTCCATTCCAACATAAAGGAAATGGCTCATGAGCCCTTGCTGTATATTTAGAAGATCAGAAGGCACTAATGGAAATAAACATATAATTAACAGAAGACATCCTGCAGTGACTGATGTAAAATTAACCAAAATTACTGTCTTCCACCAAAAATGCAATATGGTATTGCTTAGGAAAGCAAACTTCAGTATCCATGTAGTTTATTAAAATCAAGCATATTCTTACACATACTGGTTCGAAACAGTTCTATTTGATATAATCTTATTCTCATTCTTGTATGCTGAAAAAACGAGCAGCCTATTATTAAGTGATAATGAATGTCACTCAGTAGATTTAGTGGGGAAAAAAGTTACCCAGTTGTGCTGTGTTGAACTTTGAGCATGTTATTATTTTTCACCATTTCTCAAATATTAAGAAAAATTAATGGCTTTTCCCTGCTACAATAAATTAATGCTTAGCCAAAGGGGTGTGTGTTAAAAAATAATTTGGAAATCTTTTATTGTACTGAATTTAAAATTTAGTAAGTTTCTTCTCAGATAGGTATTAGATAATTACCAATTCCACAAAACCCTCAGTTAGACGTGGAATCTCATGATATTCATGCAGGACAATACCCCTTCCCATGATATTCATGCAGGACAAAGCCCCTTCTCATGATATTCATGCAGGATAAAGCCCCTTCCCATGATATTCATGCAGGACAACGCCCCTAGACTGTTTATAATGGCCTATAGTTTGTTATTCCCCATATAGACTGAATAACTAAAACTGCTTCTTATTATTATTTATGTTGATGGTGAAGAGAGGAAAATCCACTTAGATTCTGATTGCCTAATAATTGTCCACATTGATTTTATTTGTGAAAGCTTAATGTAACATTTTCTCTCTAAATTCATTTAAAAGTCTGTCCAACTTTTGCTAAAAATTATTTCCAGTATTTGACTAATAATTCTACACATAGTGTACATTGGAACGCTTCTTTTCAAAATGACAAATTTTCAAATATCCAAATTTTAAAAATTTATCCTGGTGAGGATAGCAGGGAGGCCTAGTACCTATCTCAGGCAGTACCGCCTGAATGGGATGCCAGTCCAATACATGGCACATAGTCAAGACGCAAACTGTCAACGGCTAAAACAGCTCAACGGCATGTCTTTGGACTACAAGAGGAAATCAGAAACTTCACAGGTGCAATTTTCCAAGAGAACATTCTTTTCCTCATTGTGTACCCTAATGCACATTATCTGAAAAACAGACGTCCTGAAACTATGCAATTCAAAGAAAACTATTCAAAACCCATCTAACAACAGCAGCCAAACAATGCTTGCAAGAGTTTTGCTTTAAAAAACATCCGAAGAAAAAGGTATACCAAAAGGGCTATAAATAAAATCATTTCAGATCTCTCAATTTTCATATATAATTTGAGGACTTGAATCTGTTAGATTTACAAATATTGTATAATCCACATATTTAAAACCCCATTTCCAGTAAGATAGATAATATTGTTACTTCAAATACTTGCAATGGAAGTTCCAAAATATGACTTGTGAGACTCGAAGAACTCCTAAGTCGAGTAAATTTTTTTACAGATTATTCTACGTTAGTAGACGTTGAGGAAGGTAGCTACTGTGAACCCACATGTGCAAAACAAAGATGAAGCACTAAGAATCCGCGCAGCGCCCCCCCCCCCTTTGAAGACCTGAACTGCTCCTCTGTGGACAGGCGATGAGATGCTCAGATTACATCAAGAATGTATAAAATTAATACCACACAGGGGTTGGTGCGTTTTAAGGTAGAGGTCCAGAGGAGTCACTGTTTTTAAGCAGTTCATTTAAAAGAAAAAAAGGCATCCGTTTGTACGTTTTTGTTTGACATTGTGCCTCGGCATCATGAGAATTGGTAGCAGCCGGGAAGCACTGGGTCCGGTTCTGTTGCCCTATGCTGAACTCAGACTGCATGTGATTGAGCATGCATGCACAGCCCAACATCTCGCTGACCAGAAGTACTCCCTAATTATTGCCCTCCCCTGCAGACACCAATTTTCCTCTGCTATCAATTTCAGGCTTTTTATTTTAGTCTGTTTAATGTGGTCGGCTTCAAAGATCCCTATGTTTTACGTTAGCAAGCCCTGCTCAATATCTGCGGCCAGCTACTGCATCTTTAGCTCTGTATTTATCGGTTACATTCAGGGAAAAACAAATCTGCATTTCTTTTTTTTAATGGAAAATGGATTGCGTTAGTTATACGATACGATGAGTGTTTAATTGATCTATTTATATTTTGCACAAAAATGGACAATATCCTAAAATTGTGTTTCCCTGTAAACCCACCAATTATGGCTGTTTACAAAACAAAGTCTCGGTGCCATGGTAACTGGGCGAGCATCGGAAGCAACAAAAAAAATTATGAATCACAAACGAATGAATCGGCCAAAAGAATTCCGATATTTAATACGACTTGGACGGATCTCACAACCCCTCCTTCTCCAGCCTCCCTGCATCTCCCTTCCTGCCTGTCAGGTGGTGCATGGGAAGAAATGCATCTGATGTTCACATCCTGCCGAATTCGTCGCAGGAATCCAGGGGAATGCCTGCCAAGCTGGAGGCCAGTGTTGGCTGTTAACAGCCTGACATATTCCACTTTCAGACCGAACTCGGAAGCAATGAACATGAGCGGCAGTTTTGGTTTTTTCGATAGATGAGTTTTTCGTGTCTTGCTAAAAATGCACTTTTTTTTCAAACTCCACAGACCACTGCCTGCTTTTTAATGAGTTTCACATTTCTTAAGTATCCCAGAAGGCCATGAACCCACAAATAGTCTCTCCAGGGTTACACTTCACAACAGTATCTTTATAAGAGTACAATATGGAGGCATTTAGCTATTTCAAGAGACATGTTCCTGAAGATGATGAGTTCAATTTAGTTTATGTTCAACTACTTTGTAGTTACACAATGGATGAAATCTGATGAAGTAAATAAAAAAAATTAAAAAAAAAGACTAAAATTTCAACTGGCATAATATCTAGATTTAATGAGGCAGTGTGTGGCTCAGTGGGTTAGGACTCTGTGCCTGTGATTGGAAGGTTGCTGGTTGAAATCCTAGGGTCAATGATTTCACCATTGGACCCTTGACCAAGGCCCATAACTTTAATTGTTCCAGGGATCAGCTAACCATACTTTCTGAATTATGTATCACTTTGAATAAAAGTGTGATTTAGACATCCAAAATACTGGACACACACACAAAAAAACATTTACTATTGAACAGAAGTAATTGATTTAATAAAATCTCAGACTTCACATGGGCAAAAAAATGTGAACCTCTGAAGTCAATAGCTTGTGGCACCTCCTTTAGCAGCAATAACTTCAATCAAACATCTCCTGTAGTCACTAATCAATGTGTCACATCTGCTTTGGGGGATTCTTGCCCACTCCTCCTTGCAGTTGAGTAGGGTTGGAGGGACATCTGAACTGTCCACTTCAGGTCCAGCCAAAGCATTTCGATTGATTTAGGTCCAAACTCTGGAGTGCGAATCTTCTTTTTCTTCAGCCATTCCTTAATTCTTTTGCTGGAATGCTTTGGGTCATTGTCTTGTTGCATTTTCCATCAGCCCAGTTTTAACTCTTTCAGTGATGGCATGAGGTTCTGTTCAAGAATTTCTTGATAGACCTCAGAATTCATTGTTCCCTTGATTAAGTGGAGCCGTCAAGGTCCAGAGGAAGAAAAGCAGCCCCAGATCTTCACATTCCCACCACCATGCGGAGGATTTTCTTTTCATGGATTGCAGGCTAGTTAGCGTTTTGCCAAATACAGTGATTTTGATTGTGAACAAACAGCTCAATTTCAGAATCATCTGTCCATAAAAAAGATGGTATCAGGATGCACTATGGGAAGAAGGCAACCCATTGGAGACAAGTGTGATGTTCTGGGCAATGTTCTCCTGGGAAACTTTGGGCCCTGGAATTCATATGGATGTTACTTTGACATGTACCACCTACCTAAACATTGCTGCAGACCAAGTACACCCCTTTAGGGCAAAGGTATTCCCTGATGGCAGTGGCCTATTTCAGCAGGATAATGTGTCCTTCCACAATGCAAAAATTGTCTAGGAATGGTTTGAGAAACAAGAAAAAGAGTTCAAGGTGTTTATTTGGCCTCCAAATTCGCCAGATCTCAATTCAATCAAGCATCTGTGTGATGTGCTGGACAAACAAGTTTGATCAATGGAGGCCCCACCTTGCAACTTACATGGCTAAAAGAGTCTTGGTGCCAGATGGGTCCATGCCTTGATGGGTCAGAGATGTTTTGGCAGCACGGGGGGAGATATATTAGGCAGGCAATTTTAATGTTATCTGTGTGTTTGTGTATAATTAGGAGAATGCATTTATGTCCATCAACCTGCTTCCAAGAGTCAAACTTGGTTTCTTAAAAATGCCCAATGTCATTGAACTGTAATTACAGATCGCCTCGAAAGGGCTCAAAGGATTATGGAATATGGCCTTGAAATGCTTGGCAACTGCTTGGGCAGTCACGTGATATGATCATCGGTCCCCACGGGTAATAGCTGCTAATCTCCAGGTCCTGACCCACAGCGTAATTGCTATTTTTAGGGCATGAGTACAGTGCCACTTGGGTTTGCAGGCTCTGCAGGATATTCCACACAGCGTCAGATGTGGGACCCAGGATTCCCCTGTGCTTCATGCAACATACAGTCCCTAATCGTGCGTTTTAATTGGGGACCCCGATGGCTGTGCTGGAAGGAGCCGACAGTGTTCCGGTACACAGCACCACTGTTCCTGCACTCTATTACCCAAGGAAACCACCAAGGATTTTTTTTTTTTATTCCTGGGGTTTCAGAAGTTATGATGCCCCAGCCTATCGTCACAATTACAGTTTACGGGATGCTACAGTTCTCACGATTATCTACAAACGAATATCACACAGCTGAAGAAAAATGGGCGGTGAGACTGCAACTGGGAATGATTTTCACATGACCACATCCCAACAGACAAGTTTCTGCTATGCAGTAGATGCAATTTGCATAGAATGGGTCAAACTGTTGAAGGATGTAGTATGCTGATGTACCCCAACAGTACAAAAACAGTACTTAAGTGTGTGACAAAAAAATAGGTACTGAGTCATCTTCTTCTTCTTATTATTAATACTACTACTACTACTACTACTACTACTACTAATAATAATAATAATAATAATAATAATAAAAAAAACAACACATACTTTATTGGTCCCTGTGGGGAAACTCTATGTCTCCCCAAACCTGCTCTCTCTAGGTGAGATCAAGCTGGCCATTGAGGGGCAGCCACCTGTTGTGGTACCCAGGGAGCTGGGGGTTAAGGGCCTTGCTCAGGTGCCTAGGCCAGGCTTGAAATGGTGACCTGATCACAGGCATAGAGGCTTAACCCACATCACACACTGCCCCCACACTTTCCCATGCGTAGCAATCTTAAATATTGTCATAAGTGAAGTCAATGACTTCAATGTCTCATTTTTTATTTCCCAGAATGGGGCTATTCATATTATGGTAATTCATCACTGGATTGCCTTCAAAAGATTTAGATCTGTCCCCAAAATGACAGCCATTCTGGAGATAAGATTCTCTCAAAACAATCAATGTTGGAAAATGCACTCATACAAGAAATCGATTCATCCTAGCAGAGGGCGCAGGTGTAAGGAATTAGACGTGAAAGTGCTCCACCACTCATAAACAGAGCCACAATCAGACCTTAGTGAAAACAGTAGAGCAACAATCCAGAGGAAAACAAGACTGCCCTCTAGTGTCAATGTTATATTTCATAATATGTCTAATATGTTAGTGAACTAATATACAGAGAGTGGACAAAATAACAGAAACATCAGGTGCCTGCCTTAATGAAGGTGTACCAATGACCTTTTTGATATGAGAGATGCTTTGGGCATGTCCGTTTGGAGAAGACCCCAGGGCAGACTCAGGACACACTGGAGAGATTGTGTGTCTCGGCTGGCCTGGGAGCACATGGGTATCCCTCCCGGAGGACCTGGAGGACATGGCTGGGAAGAGGGAGATCCAGAAATTTCTGCTTAGACTGCTGCCCCTGTGATCCAGATAAGCAGCGGACAATGAATGAATTAATAAGTTTATAAAGAAATACCTAACAGAACAAGAAATAGAAAACAGAGAGACAAAGCAGCTGACGCTCCAACTGCAGATGCACAAAAACAGCAAAATTATGCATCACGACAAAGGAAACAATGTCGACGATGTTTGCAAAATGCAGACAAACGGTATCAGCGAAGAGGAACAGCAGTCTCAAGTTGAAGCTTACCAACTAAGACAGACAGACACTTAGCTGCTGTGAAAGACCACAAAATTACAATCTCATTACCAAAGACCTGAATCAACACCACAGTCACAGGAAAAACTATAGATCACAAGCTTCACAAAGCAGTAGTTGATGGCAGGGCTGTGGTCTAGAAACCTCTTGTATTCAAGGCCAATGCAGAACGATACGATGCATAAAACCTGGACCCCTGAGCAATGGAAAAAAGTATTATGGTCTAATGAGTCATCTTTACCCCCTCCTCTAACATCCGGATGGGTTTACATTTGGAGAAAGACAAAGGATGCCTTCAACCCACAATTTACGTTGGTATGGTAGCCATCTTGTGGGAATCATTAGGTCTGATGATTGCTCTGCATGGTTGTATAATGGCCAAAGCAATAAGAGGCCATTTCAGCAGACTGGATGCACCCTATAGTGCAAACACTTTCTCCCCCTGTTGTTCCAGTATTCCATGATGTTAATGCCTCACATACGCTGCTACAGAAATTCATGAGTTGTTTCATAGACACCTGGATGTGGAAAACCTTCCACGGCCTTGCGAGTCACAAACTCGAAACTTCACTGAGACTTCATTGGCTTTGTTGGAGTGCAGAGTTCAATTTTCACCTCCTTCATCCCTCAAAGTAGTGGAAGTTTTTCCTCATGACAAATGGTCCAGTATCTAATCACACACAGTTCAGGACTTGGGTGCCAGCATTTTATGAAGGACTTAAGCTGTTCTAAAAGCAAAGGGTGGCCCGACTCCTTAATAGCTCTTTAACATAAATATATTGAGGCCTATCTGATATTTTATCCACTCCCTGTATACAACACCTAGAGAGCAGGTAATGAGATTTCCTGCAGATACCAATGTCTTTTCCATACATTGCTTTATCATTCTCGCTACATTATGTACTGATCAAGTACGTTTTTAACCCATATTTTGCATGATATACAGCTGGTTTGTGTGGTACTCTGTCCATCAATGGAAACTCATTCAATTACAATATATTTGCACATACAGTAAAACTGCATAATACCCTTTACTGCCATATGCCATACTTTTAAATAGATACGTGGGTATTGAAAATGGATGGACAGATATACAAAGGGGCAGTTTATCTATACATTGAGACTTTGTGCCAATCAGTGGGGGTCGTTGCTTGCCACAGCCTGTTTGTACATGTGACTGGAAGGTTGCTGGTTCAAATCCCAAGATGGGCAGAGTGATGCCACAGTTGGGCTCTTGGGCAAGGACCCTAAACAATTGCTCCAGGGTTAGGGTTATCTGTTTTCTCAAAAATGTATGTCACTTTGGATAAAAGCTAAATACGAATGTAAAATAACTCTTACTTTGTCCAGCTCTGGCCAGTAATAACAGTAATACAAAGAAGCAAAAGTTCACCAGAGTGCCAAATCTCTGTCGGTCACCTTCGTCGTACACAGCCTATCTGCAGTCTTTGTGAAGTCTTCCTGTCAAGCAAGTACATCAGTTGACTTTGGGTTGCCAAACTATTACCTTCTTTGACTTTTAAATCAGCTCCTGAACTTTTCTAAGGAATACCTAGGAATAAATTGTTTCCAGACATTTGCATATGTATTTAAATAAATACCAAAATTAGGATCCGATTAGGACCCCCATCCCTGCAGGTGTGAGGTGACAGCAGTTCCCACCAAGCTGCTGTTCCGCCTTGCAAATTATGTTATTGTCTAATTAAACTGAAATACGCATTAGAATAGAAAGTAATTACAGTGGTTGTCTTAACTTGCCTGTGGCCCTAAACACTATACTATTTGCTCTCTAATAATGCCAACAGCTCTAAGTAAAATACACCAGACAAATGGATGACCCAAAAGCTTTACAGTATTCTGCTTCACTATGCTATGAATATATATCCTCCTGTATACTGCTGATACCAAATGGGCAGGAAACAATGGAATTACATAGCATCCAAAAAATGAGGCCTATACTGTATATGGGCAAAGCCAAAAAAGAAAATTCAATACAAATACGCCTGCACTGTGTTTATGTACTTATTATCATATTGAAGCACCTTAATTTGTATTTGTGTTTAATTTATATTAACCTGGCTGAAAAGATATGCAGGGTAAGATTTTCAGTGCATAGTGTAATTGACTAATTGACTGTAATTGTTTATTGTGCATATGACAGAAACTTGAACATCAGTCTGACTAGCTCAGTTGGTAGAGCTTGAAACTCTTAAATCGCAAAGTTGTAGGTTCAAGCTCCGTGTTGGGTGTTGGCTTGAAGGACAGTGCTGCATTCCTGAGCAAGACCTTTAATCCTCAATTGCTTCAGGGGCTGTTAAAACCCCTCCACTAAATGTTAAAAACTAACAAACATGTTGATTGAAATGTGTAATATTGGATTTGGTAAAATAAGAGAAGCTGGCCGGGGACAATGATGTGATGCACAGTGTCCCATTTCTTGGAACATTACAATATAGCATTATCTGGTGTAAATTTGGATGACAAACATTACAGTATAATGATATCATGTGTACATCTGGATAACAAACAGGCCTTAGCAACAACAAAGGCTCTGGGCAAACAAACCAGTGTCTGGCTTTTGCTGGCTCGGAAATGTGTATTTGAAAAATCAGGGTGAAAAGGAGTAAGAAAAAATTATAGTGTTATACAAACAAAGATAAAGTGATCTCTGATTGGTTAAGGCTGAAGCACAAGGGATTAGAATACATAACCTACTGGTCCGCACTAGTCAGCACAAATCAAAGGATCTGTATGTTTGTTATATGCCTTACACCAACCACAAAGGGCTACTTTTTTATGAAAAAAAAGTTAGGATTAAACTCATTAAGGTGATCAATTTCACTTTGAAGTTTAGGTAGATGTTATATACAAAACCCTTCCATCTGCTCACATGGGGCATGGAGTTTATTCCAGGCAGCACAGAGCACAAGGATGGGGTATACATTACATTTAATTTTTATGTGGCGGATACTTTTGTGCAAAGTAATATACAAGCAAGAAAGTAGGGTCAGAAAGTCCCAGGAGCAATTGTGGGTTCAGGGCCTTGCTCAAAGGGCCAACGATGAAATCACTCAGCCGTGGGATTTTAACCGGAGACCACCTGATCACAGTCATAGAGTCCTAACCCACAGAAATACACCACCCTGCCAGTATATACAAGAGCATACGGCTAATTTACTTTAAAAACAAGAATACATTTTGGATTCATTTCAGGCATTCCTGGCCTGGCATAAGGGTGGTGTGCTGGCTGAGTGGTTAGCACTGTAGCCCCCAAACCTCCAGGGTTTGTGGGATTTATTCCTACTCTCTGTTACCATTTAGTTTGCATGGTCTTCCCCAAAAACAAGCGGTTAGGTGATTTGGGGTCTTCATAGTGTGTTATCAAGCTAGACTGTCATCTGATGTAGGCATTCCCCTGCTTTCTGCCCCATTCCTCCTGAGGCAGGCTCCAGGTTCACCATGACCCTGTACTAGACCAGTGGTTATGGAAAAGGGATGGATGGAGTCAGAAGCTTCAGTAAACAGACTTCACTTCTGAGGTAGTTTCACACAAGTTATTGCTCAGCAGTGATTTCATAACTGTGCATTTTATTTTCATAGTGAGATATGCTTATACTTTCATCTGCACTCTTTCCTATTCTAAAAATGTCTATTCTCTGATGGAAGGAAAAATTATAAAAATTATATGCTGCAGTTTTAGTTTGCTGCAACAAGCTGGACAAACTAAAGTTTCTCAGCCAAATTTTCAAGTCCTGAAAGGGGCAGGCACAATAAATATAAACAAGAACAGGTCGACTTGACTGACAACCATCTTAACCCTTAAGGACCCACAGTGACACTGGTGTCACCGCCCCTTTACAACTTACAACCCCCGTAATTTTCATGAAAGTAGAAATAGGTCTGGGTTCTTAAGGGTTAATATCTTTATGGAAGTAAGGTGGGCGTATTTAACCCTTAAGAACCCAGACCTATTTCTACTTTCATGAAAATTACGGGGGTTGTAAGTTGTAAAGGGGCGGTGACACCAGTGTCACTGTGGGTCCTTAAGGGTTAACCAATAAGATGCTGAACAATACTGAATCAATAAGTAAATTGGGTAGGTATTCGAACAAAACAACAGATTAATTACACTGCAGGCAGATCAAAACTAGGCAACAGAATTAAAATATATGGCAATCATAAGTAAGGGATAATGTACCGGCAGCCGGTAGTTATCGCAGAAATAAGCCCCGACAGTGTGATCAGGACCCGACGCGAAGCGGAGGGCCTTGTACTGTATCACACTGAAGGGGCTTATTTCGCGATAACTACCGGCTGCCTGTACATTATCCCGCTTATTACACGGCTACTTGCCACATAAGGAAAAAAACTGGACATGAATATGAATTTGAAACATTTTATTGGCATATTTGTTTTAAATTAACATTTTTAAACGGTAATCTTTGTTGGCGCGGAGGGATTTTAAACATACAAGTAGTACCGGCTATGCATTATTACTTTGGAGCGGTTATTATTTGAAAAGAACGAACCTGCAAATGTCTCAACTGACCAATCAGAATCAAGCATTCCAGAGAGCCTTGTAATAAGCTCCTATATCTTCATTTTATTTTTCCCACAGTCTCCTAGATCTTTAACTTTCATTTTTATTCTTTGCTCTGATCGTTTATTCCACCCTCACAGTAAATTTAATACTATGTATATCTATACTCTGCTTTGCAAGAATGAAAACGCGTTATAATACATTTTTTTTAAAAAACATACAGAATATACATATAGAGACGCACCTCTACTTACGAACATTCACCTTAAGAATGAAGAAGACTGTAAGTCCAAATTGTGTTTATTGGGTTCCTGTTTCCTGTCCGCAACATCAATTTTTTTTTTCATGCACACCAGTCCCGCCTAGTACGACTTCTGGCCGCTACTCCCGCCGCGCAGCAGTGTAGCGTGCGTACTCCCCGCATCCTAGTTCTTTGTATTTGCGTATACCCTTAAAATGATGTTGAACAACGACTTACGAACATTTCAAGTTATAAATGGCCGTTCGGAACATATCTCGTTTGTAAGTAGAGGAGCGTCTGTATAAATAATTTTCTCAAATTTTTAGATATACTCAAATATGATGAATGTCTAAACCAATGTTTTTCAAACCTGTCCTTGGGGCCCCCAGACAGTACAAGTTTTTGTTCTCTCTCAATTCCGGTGTTTTTTCAGTAATAAACAAAAGTTATCAAATATAGTCCAAGAGTTACTGAGATGAGAAAAAAGTAAGAAAACTAACAAAAAAAAATAGCAAAAATATACATTTCATCAAATTAACTGTTTACTGTTACTGTTTTTTTTCTGAAAAATTCTCAAGTGTGTACGAATTACCTATACACTGGTATTTATTTAATAGTTCTTCCATTTGTAATGTACGAAAAAAAATACTACTTGTAAGCAAGTACAAACTGAATTTCAATCCTTTAAAAAAGTCTCAATGAACAGATGGAAATAAAAGGAGAGGGCACTGAATTATAAGAAGGGATGTTAAGCTATCTAAAACCTACAGTATGTGGCAAATTTCTCTAAAAACAGAAGCCTGTCAACCTCTGAAAATATACTTAACATGAAAGATCTTAAGATTTTAAGATGTAAGTTTTCAATTTTAAAAATTAAGATATTTTTATCCCATGTAAACTCACGTTGTTTTCAACCAGGGATGAATATCTCCCTTTAGGTGTGTGTGTGTGTGTGTGTGTGTGTGTGTTAGGTTTATATTACATTTTGGGTAGGAGTTAAGGTCATCATTACAAACCTGTGTGCGCGAGCAGGTTTACCTATCTGATAAATATCTTTTTTTTTTCCCTTATGGGGACCGGTTTCCTGGTCCCCATAAGGGAAAACTCTATTTTATAAAAATCGGTGACTGCTATGAAAAAACTAAACATGTAAAAACTCTTGTATTTTGTTAGGTTACTTATGGTTATGGTTAAGGCAGGGTAGGGGTTAAGGTTGTCATAGTTAGCGTTAGCATTCTTCCCATTGAAATGAATGAGTGGTCCCCATTAGGATATGTATACCCTACATGTGCGTGTGTGTGTGTGTGTGTGTATGTGTGTGTGTATATGTATAAATATAAATGTGCTTTGCATGAACGAATAGGTAGATAAAGTGTTCCTGCAGGTATAAGTGTAGGTACCTACTTGATAGGGAACAATGCTCTCATGGGCGGTACCCCAACGCTTTGCCTCCTTTCCCACGTTCAGGTAGTTCGCAGCTATGTGAGTGAGGCACGCTACCTAGGATAAAATAAAAAGGATTGCGTTCATTTATTTAGCAAACACTTTTATCCAAAGCAACAAACATTTTGAGAAAGTAGGATCAGTCAATCTTTGGAGTACTTGAGGGTTAACAGCCTTGCTCAGGGGCCCAAGAGTGAAATCACTCTGCCAGCCTGGGACTTGAATTAGCAATCTTCCGCTCACAAGCACAGCATCCTAACCCACTGAACCACACACCATCCCCAGGATAAAAGAGGGATTTCATAAACATAAACAGATTCCTCATACTCAGAAATGTATGATTCAGCACACCCTCCCAAAGAAAGTGAGTGTGGGTATGGCATTGCATAAATAAATCCTATTCTCTTCGAATGAACAATATATAGGTAAATTTATGGCTGAGGGTGATGTAATTATTTAAAGACTGATAACAAAAAGCATGAACACTGAGCAAGGAAAATATATGAAAGAAATCAGAAAGAAAAGTCTGAGCAATAAATAAATCTGTGGGACAACTGGGACATAATGGAACACAAAATGATGACAGAGCACTAGTACCTCGTATGTCTATAAATGGAAGACATTAGGTAAAAGCAACATAAAGGTACAGTAGCATATACATATATATGCAAATAACACTGTAAATTTGTGCTCCTATCTTATAACAAATGAACAGATGACTCTACCAAAAAGTTATCCACAGTGTCAATATATTCAAATTGTTATTCCATGTTGAGAAAAAAACAAAAGGCAGGTTTAATAGAAAAAATACAGAATACTGAAAAGATTGCATTACTTTATAAGACTTCTTCAGCTTCGGATTCTTAAGTGTATACAGTAGTGTGGATTCATCTAAAATAAATTGTCCAAATGTTAAACCAGAATGAAAACAACAGTGTTTTTCAAAGCTGCTGTTAAAATTGCAAATATTAGACACTTTAAGCACTTTGAGCCAGAGCTGGAAAATGCCCAGGCTACATTAGACCGCCTCATAGGGTCAGTTATAATTTCATTGCCGATTTGCGCTTGATCCTTGGCAGAATGCCACATGTTGAGTCTACCCATCACATAGCAGCTTTTATTTTCAGGTAATTGTCTAAGATTAGTTAGGTTTTTTGAAAACGGAGCATAGTCTGTTGAAACCTAACATCAACAACACTGGGCTACCATTGAGAAAACTTTTAATACATGGGAAAACTAAATATAATGGGAAACAGGCCATCAAGTACAGCACAAACAGTTTCATTGACTGCAGTGCCATTTGCACGGCTGGGCTATTTGCTAAAGAGCACATTGCTTAACATATGGCTGCTGCAGCCAGCATTGCTAAACTACTAATACACCTGGTGACATTTTATCAAACAATTAGGCAGCACCATGTGCCAGTCGACCATATGGAAGCTTTGTCATGCACACAATACTTCCCTGAGATCCTGATAGAATGACTTATTCCTTGAGTCTTATGTGCTGCATAGCAATACATAGGCATGTCTTGCTCTTTCAACTGCATTGATGCCATCCAACAACAATAATCAATTTTTAAATTCCTGATAGAACGCCTTCATTCGTCCCTCACCCATCTACTACATTGTAACACATATGCGTCTCTTGGTCTGTTTCATCTGCATTGATGCATTTATTTAATGTAATTTAGGATCCTACTCAACACTGGAAAACTCTCTAAGGGTCATTCCATGGGAACATAAAAGGCCTGCAGTAAAAGCTGAATCAATCTATTATTACCATGGTGCCCAAGCCTATGACATTCCTATAGAAACATACCATGAAAAAGAAATATAATTTTTGATAAAGCATTGATGTAATTTCTAAATGTCCAGGTTCCTTATCACCAAAAATTGCAATTTTTTCATAAATCATGTTTCCAGGAGAAAATAAATCTTGCTTTAGGGATGCTATAAAGTCACAGTTACCGTACTTTCATCTGCCTTGACACATATACTGTAGACAGACCACAGCCGGGAAAAACAACTGCACCACCCCCCAAAAAACACAAAGGAGTCTGGGCTGAAATTCTGCCTGTTTGCATCCATTCCGGAAAGCATATCTTTGTCCTCGACTGGTTCGAATTTTGGGCGATTATCCTAATTGCAATGATCATGTGGTTGAAATTAACTACTCTGTCTTCTCTCAGAAGGCTACAACCGGCTCCCCCTTGTTCACATTCCACATGAAACACAGCTGTCCACTTGGGCACCGTTGTTTGCTGCAGAACTCTCTTTAAATGCAACTTACAACTCATGGACCGGCAATTATACAGTGTTTGTAAACTGTGACGATATTTATCAGAGTGGGCTAGATAGAGATGTGTTTTGAAAAGATGTTATCAAAATGACTGAAGAAATCCAGGGAATTCTTTATATTAAAAAATAGCCTTCTGAGTTACAGTATATTTTGAGAACCATTAGTTTGAAAGGTAGTTTTATTATACATTATTACCCTTGGAAGATATTCGGCATAATAACATGTAAGCATGTGAGAACAGAATTATATAAAGCATAGTAGGAGTATACTATACAATAACAATGTAACAATAACAATATCAATAGCTGTAGGAATATACGCATTCTCATGGTTTTGTCTGGACCCTGTTAGGCTGTGAGTCACGATAAAATGGTGATGAGATACAGGGCAGCTCCAGTATGTGAGGCTGTCAGATAGAGCGCTTTTATTTTGCCAGGCCAAACGTCTCAGTCACCAAAAAGCTGGTGTTTTGAATTCCGCTATTTGTTTGTACTCATCATTCTCATATGCTTTAACTTCAAAGGTCTTTTAAAAAAGAAATAATTAAAATGATGCAAATTTGAAAAATTTCTAGCCATGCAAGTTTATAAACTTCATGTTATTCAATGATAAAAGTATTACATTTAACATAATGGAGAAAAATAGAGGGGAAAAAATAGGTGATTGCTTTATAACCACAAACCTCAAACTTTAGCTTTTTGGCATGGACTTCTGAAGTCAACCAATGAGAGCTAAGTGCAAATATGTCTTCAGAACGTTTCATTTAAAGCCATGGATTCCCTCCAATGGAGCAATATTCCCACCAATATAAAAGACACAGAAAAACATTTAATAGCACAATACGACATTTTAGCTTCATCTCAAATAACAATAGCTGGATCGGGAAACCACATGTATGGATTTTTTCATGTTTCAACTACCACTTTGAAAATGATAATAAATAAAGCTTTCAGCATTTGTCATTATCCAGGTTATAAAAACATTTTCTGAACGTTTGGCTATTGCTGGGAATTTGTTGCAGGGAGAAGAGGGTCCAAGAAGGAGGTCTGGAACTCGTCAGTGGTCCATAAGTTCTTATATAATCAAACTTTGGACCTGTGGAAATCGGACATGAGACCCTGCTTTAGCTAGCTTTATGCAATGCCTTTACCAAACAACTGTTGATGGAAGTCCGATATTTCTTCAAATGTGTGTATATGAGAATCTGTGCTGGAAGGTCACAAGCAAACAACACAACCTAGAGCCAAAGATCCAATGGGTCATATGCTGCTTTAAACTATTTCCTAATTACAAGGCTGCAAAGTACTCTGCACATACCAACCATTTGTCTTCTAATTTCCACTTCTTACAATGGGGGAAAAAATGAAAATAGAAAAAAATGTACATATAAATAAAGATCAAAACATTAGTCAATGTTTGATATCTTTCCATCAGGCAAATGAATAGTCTGTACAAATGACCAACTGGAAAACCAAGGAAAGAATGACATTTATAGACATGCCAAGATATAAGTGCATTCAGTGATCATCTTGTAAAGAATAAAAACTCTCTTAACTCTCTTAATTTTCATTGAAAATAGAAACACAACATATCAAATGTTGAAACTGAGAAATTTTATTATTTAATGAAAAATAGATGCTCAAATTGAAATTGACACGCCCCCATTCGCCATCTTGAGTGGAGTGTTCGCGGATGTAAACACATTTGGTTAACAAACTTAATACAGTGGTACCTCGGTTATCGAACTTAATACGTTCCGGACTCCGGATCGAATCCTAAAAAGTTCGAGTTCTGATCAAATTTTTCCCATAAGAAATAATGGAAAACCAATTAATTGGTTCCCGGCCCGCCAAAATTACACCTAAATGTGTTTTTTTTTTCTCTTTTTGCATTTAAACACAAAATGAACAGGATAAAACAAGAGCAGCATTTTTTCCTTAATGGCTTCCAAAACGATAAATATCTTATCCCAACATTACCCCTGTCCTGCCCCGATTGTCCGCTCCTTCCGTGTGCCACGCCTCCTCGTTAACCTCGTGTGGGATCCCCAAGTGATCAGCTGTTTCTGGTTGTTGTCATTAGTCCTCTGTATTAAGTCCGCGTTTCAGTTTGTTTCCCCAGTCTGGAAATTGGGTGCGTTCGACTTGCTTACAGCGCTGGCTTAAAGCAACACATTCTGATCCTGATGCAATGCATTACGGTTAGATGCATTGCGACCTCTCACCCGGCTGCACAAACTGGAATCACCTTCGTGACGACACACCTTTGCCCTTATTGGCTGAAGAGTTTAGTTACACGCATGACGTTTGTATCCCAGGCAGTTCATATGCGTAATCTGCCATTTCTCCCGAATATCACGTAAAGCAGTGAGAATTGGTTTTCAGTTAATTTAGCTGGTAAAATAAAGTTTAAATAAATGACATAAATGCTCTAATAGTACACGTAAGCTAGTGGTTTATTTATTGTTAGTTACTGTAATGTTGCGCTGCTTTATTTGGTTAATCGTCCAGTCTGTGAAGAAGGCATTCAAGTAAGAATTGCACTGTAGTATGACTCATTTCCTGGCGCGTACAATTTATATAAGGTCAGCGTTCACGGTTCGACTTCTGATATTCAGATCGAGTTCTAGTTCAAACTGGTTTGTTCGACTTTCAAGAAATTCGAGTTCTAGTGAGTTAGAGAATCGAGGTACCACTGTATTTCATATTCAGTGTTTTCTCCACAAAAATGTAATGTTTTATGTAATCAGTAATAAG